TTACTAATTAACCCATAGATGGGGAAATAGGTGGATGTATACGTTTCCGAATGTGTATTTGCGTGTCAGTGAATATAATGAAACTAACTGGAATTGAAACTGGGCTCTCCGATTAACAATGACCATTAGACATGACACCACCCTCACACCCACAGGGTGTTTACGATAGTCCAGGTTGTTTTGTTTTATGGCATACCAACCTCAATGGGTTATTTAATGCCGACAGGGTTTTTAGGATAGTTTGGTTTATTTTACGGCTTACCAACCTCAATGGGTTATTTAATGCCGACAGGGTTTTAGGATAGTTTGGTTTGTTTTACGGCCTACCAACCTCAATGGGTTATTTAATGCCAACAAGATTTTTATTACTGGTAATAATTTTTTTCCAAAAATGTATTGTTGGTAATATTTTCTTTTAAATGTATTGCTGGTATTATTTAATTAAATGTATTGCTGGTAATAATTTTTCAAAAAAATAGTAGTACTGGTATTAAAACCTATATATATATTATACTCTCATGGTGTTTTGATTCCGTGTGGGATTAACTATTTGCCCATAGCTGGGACCCTGAAAGGTGCTACCACCTCGGGTCAGGGTGAACCTGGAAACACCAGCAATTAAGACGTGTTTCTATGCTCCTCAAATCCTTCTGAACAGAGGCCTTACTGTCGGATGGAGTTTATCGTCTTACCCAGGACGCGGATGTAGTTTATCGTCTTACCCAGGACGTGGATGGAGTTTATCGTATTACCCATGACGTGGATGGAGTTTATCGTCATACTCAGGGTGCGGATGGAGTTTATAATCTTTCCTAGGACGGGTTCACTTCAGACCGTTCGTGGGATTCATCTATAGAATCTATCACTAAAGATCTTGCAATGATTGTCGGCTCCAGGAAGTATCTAAATCTTTCTGCAATATTGCATCTTTAAAAGTGACAGATTAAACTGAAAATGGGACATTGCCGCCATATTTGAGATGGAGCTGTTCAATCATAACTTTCTAGACTTGATAATGTTCAAAATCATTTATACGGCCTTGTGGGTGATGATTTATTTTCCATTCTGCAACCATTTACCCTGCAGACGCAACTTTGTTAGCTTATCGTCACTCTATAGCTATTTCCATGCATATCTTTGAGCCGGCTATATTTCGTGTTCTATCAGTTGAAACTTTTACAACAACTCCACATTGCTCATAATACAAGCTTGTATTGTTTCATTATGCACATTCAGACCCTACTGTTACTATGAATGGTCGAGGCTCCATGATTTGGACGTCTGTTGGGTATCCAGACGATTCCTGACCTCAAATGGAACTCATGTATAGTGTGCAGTAATATGAAGCTATTTTCAGGGTGTATGATGAAAATAGTTTGGCCTTGAAAAATATTGCATCATCCGTGATTGTATCAGATTTTTCTCACGACAAGACACTATTGTCTCGACTGTCGATTAGTTGTCCTACGTTCATTGTCTGTGATGGACGTTACTCCAAGGAAGCGTACGAAAATTGTAGCGCTGCACGAACACACTGGCAAGTCTTACCAGTGAGCAAATAAAAGTACTATAGATTGTTCCGGAAACTCTCCTGATTCAAATCCAATCGAGAATCTGTGGTCAATTTGCAAGAAACAGCTTCGTGGAATTGACATACGATGTACTAACATGTGCACTGGGTCATGTTTCATTGGAAAAATACAAAAAAAAGAGTAAATAATAACGGAATTATTTGTTTTGTTTCAATTCATTTCCACAAGAGTGTAGATTAGACCAAAAATGGAATACAGCCCCCATATCTGAACTAGGGCTGCTTAATTCTCACTTTAGTTGCTTGATAAATTTTCCAATCGTTTAGGCAGTCCTGTGGATAGTTATATTCTCTACCCTGCAACCCCATTACTCACGAATGCAACATTGCAAGACTACTCTATTGCTATTCCAATGACAGGATCAGATATGCTCCATTCCAAATCGATGGAATCTACAACCTCTTTTCCTACAGACAATATTGCCTGTTACTAATCTATCGTTGTTTCCATGGCTAATGTTCAGATGAACTCTATTCTTTAGTTCCACCAGTTCAGACCTTTACAGCTAGGAGTCACCATTCCACATCCATAGAGTCTAATGATCTCTGTCCTAAAGCCTGTTTTCTTATAGACACACTGTTGCAAGCCTGTTGCTAATCTATCGCTATTTCCATGGCAAATGTTCAGATGAGCTCCATTCTTTAGTTCCACCACTTCAGACCTTGGATACACTACATCCATAGAGTATAAAATTTCCCCCCTACGGTTTCTTTTCTTACAGATAATGTCTCAACCCTATCTTTACCCTATCGCTATTTCCATGGCAAATGTTCAAGATGAGCTCCATTTTTTAATTCTAACTGTACTGACCTCTACAGCAAGTACTCACCCTACCATATCAATAGTCTAATATTTTCTACCCTACAGCCTCTTTTCCTAAAAACGCTATATTGCAAGCCTATCACTACTCTATCGCTATTTCCATGGCAAATGTTCAGCCTACCACGCCGTTGAGAGCTATGCTTTCTCTCGTCCGAACGACACGAGAAAATACGAATTTTAAACCCTTTTATATCAATGTTGTTTTATTCTTTTTTCTTTTGTTTTTCCTTTTTATTCGTACGTGTTAAAAAAACCTGAAACGTAGCAACACTGGCCTTTTTGTGAATGTAAACACTTCATTCGACATAGCAAATAGTAAGAAATAAGGATTTTATACTTTATTTTATCTTCATTTAATATATTCGTCGATTTCAAAGTCCATTCGAGAACCATCACGAGAACGGTGAATAAGTTTAAAAAAGAGGTAACAGTAGAGAGGAAAACTGGATCAGAAGCTGACAACAGGAAGATGGGTCCTCATTTCAATTTAGATCAATTAGAAAAGATCCAACTCAATCCATAACGCGTTTGGCACGTGAGAGAGAAGTTTCAGCTATGACAGTCCAAAGAACAGTGAAAAAAGACTTGAAAATGAAATCGTACGTGAAACCAGCGAGGCAACTTGTTGCTCCAGGACAGAAAGTTAGGAGGTTAGAGAGGGTGAAGATCATCTTGAATAAGTTGGAAAATTATCCTGGAATAATATATGTATATATTTGAACTCCTTCATGGGCTTCCGGTTTTTAGCTATGATTAATTTCATTTTCTTTTATGATCGATTTCATCACAATTCTTCTGTTAAGCTCGGAGAGTAATTATACATTCTTATTGCTCAAAGTAGAGTCCTATAGTGTTATAAAAACCTAGGGGAATTCCAGTAAGATATTTTTAATCATTTCTAAGATGCAACGGGGCAGAGCTTAACCTAACAATTGGACAATTTTGCTGTTACACTATTTTTGCAATTTTGCTGTTACACCTGGCATGCTTATTTCATTGTTATATGGTAATAAACCGAAGAAGAAATTTTGTTTTAACGTTTTAGCCCCTCTTGAAATGAAACAGACAGATTTACAGGCTGCAAATTCGTCTCTCCATGGTTTTTCCATTGGCGATGGCAAGTTGATGCTTGCTAGTTCGGGAACAGACTAACAATGTGCGCCTGTAGACCCAGATATAAGCGCGACTGGTTGCATACAGACTCAAGTTTAAAACCGACCAATATCTTCAGATGGATTCTAGAGTAAACTTAACAAATGCTTTCCTGTAGCGTTCTAAATAAAAACGATCAATGTTTACCTAAAGATTCGATACTAAGTCCAACTAAGGTTTTCTATTTGTACAAGTAAATGTATGACAAATATTTAACTTTAAAACCATGTCTAAACTCGATTAATGTGCATCCACAGAGTCACTTATAAATACAATCAATGTTTACCTATAGTCTTAAGTATTAAAACAATCAATGTTTACCTATAGTCTTAAGTATTAAAACAATCAATGTTTACCTATAGTCTTAAGTATTAAAACAATCGATTAAATTATTAACACTAGCAATATTTAGCTGTAGTCTCAAATATTAACACAATCACTTTTTACCTATAGTCTCAAGTATTAACACGATCAATGTTTACCTAAGTCCCAAGTATAAAAACGACTAATTTTAACGCTTAGATTCAAGTATAAACACATTTAATGTTTACTAATAAATTCAAGTATATACCTGATTAATGTTTTCCTATAGACTCAAATATAAACCGAGCCGAAATTTACCTGTAGGCCCAAAAATAAACCAGCAAAGTTTTAAGTATAGATCCAAATATAAAGAGAAGTAATGTTTACATATAAACTCAAGTATAAATGGGACTCAAGTATAAATGGGACCTATAAATTCAAGAATAAACATGACCACATTTCACCTATAGACTAACATATAAACTCGACAAAGTGTTACCTATAGACTCAAGTATAAATCAATCAAGTTTTTTGTTCACGACTGTAGTAGACAGGTACTCTTTGGGTCAAGTCACTAGATCCAAACAACGCCTTTATCTATTGGACCATGTGTCCTCAAAACTTGGAGAGTTCAGTTAAAGGGAAATAACTGAGATATTACAGAAGAGGCCCGGCACGTGGAACTAGAACAGTCTACCCCGATAGACAAAATAAAGGGTTCAGTTAGAAATTCCAATGCAAATAGTGTAAATAGTTACAATACATCGTTTCAGACATATAGACAGATCCTGAAGAATTCCAGAGCGTGCAACGGTCGAAACATCGTGAATATGGCAATAAATACGTAAATATATGTAAATAATATAAATGAAAGCATTTAAAGAAAAGGCAATGAGAAAGTGACCGAAAGGTTAGGAGCTATAATATTTTCAACTATAAATCCGACCAATCTTTACCTATAAATTCGTGCATAAACACAACCAATTTTTACCTATAGACGCGGTGGGGGGGCGATTTTGACATTAACTCATTTAACATGGTTAGACCTCTCTTTCAAATCACCAACCAACACCGCTTACTTTATAGGACTTGTATATTTCTAATGCCTTTTTGTCTTTTTTTCTGTTTCAGTGACCTTGACGATATCAGTGCAGACTGTTTACATTTAGACATCTGGTAAGTAATTTCTTTTAAAGTTCCCCCCCCCCACCGTCTGCAATTACAATAAACTAAAAAGATGTTTTTATTCCTTTTGTGACTAAGCAAATTATTCTTCAATTGATGGTTTTCAAAAACATACAGACGTTGGGTTTATGAAGGCGTCTATATGCAATGTTCACTCAGTTTTTAGTAAATCTCATCTGAAAGAACTCGAAATGCAAACGGAATTTGAAAATCACTCCTCTTCGCAACTTCGATTTCGAAAATGGAAAAATAATCTTTATTTTTATGCCGGTAATTATATTCCATCTTACAAGTGACAAACATTTTCTTTTAATCATATTGAAGAATCGATGTAAAGGAAAACGAGCTATTCTCTTTGATTCTGATTTTAGAAATATAAGCTCCGAAGAGGTGTCTGCCGACAAAAAAAAAGTTAAGTACATTGATATTAATGTCTGGAAGGAGATTTTTGAATATTTTTTTTTTCTTAAGGCTTTTTATTTTTTTATTTTTTGTCTGGTGGGGTGGGGGGGCAGTGAATGTCTTTGCATCAGTTACGATCACACATTTAAGCTATGTATGGATCGATGGGAAAATAACTCAACCTCACTTAACGACCCCTCGAACGTACGACTAGTTATAAAATTTCCTAAAATAATTTTTTTAATCCAATCAGTCAGTATTGTAGCAACTTACGTCTCATTTTGATTTTATATTTTCAGAAGCATACATTTAGCCATATTCAGTGTTAAAGAGAGACACACACACACACACACACACACACACACACACACACACACACAGAGGGTTATTCAAAAAGAATGAACCGATTTCATGACGCATTCCTTTAGTTCTCAAGCATCGTCATGTAATGAGTGATCATATGAAAGGGAAGTTTTGAATGGCTGCCACAGGGGGCGCTGTAGACGCGTCGTATCGCCGGTAACGTTGAATTGTTTACCCCCGGAATGACGGGTCCTCAGGAAAAGTCGTTCTGCGTTCTCGAGTTCGCGAAAGCAAATATGGTTGTTATGGTGCAGTGTGATTTTCGAAGGCAATTCGACATTAATCCACCCTCTTCTAAGAACATTCGACGGTGGTTTAAATAGTCCAGGACGATCACCAATTTCGTAGAAACAAATGTCGAGAATTCGTGTACAAATCGATTTAGCCGTGAGCTTGCGAACTCTCAATCCACAAACTGGTGTGTGCTAAGAAGACATCTACATTTGAAACCTTACAGACTACGCCTCATTCAGGCACTTACCAAGACCTTGCTCTTTGTGCTTGGCCTTTGAAATGTCCCTGACCTCATTGTGTGGGATTTTTTTCTTGTGGGAGATACGTAAATGACTGCGTTTATGTTCCACTGCTGCCCACTAACCTCGATGGTCTTCGAATAACAACAGCGATCAACTCAATGGATCGTGATATGCGTTTAGGAGGAATACTCTTATCGCATTGATGTTGCCCGTGATGAAGGTGATGGCCACATTGAACACTTGTAAGACATGAAATAAAAGTTGATTGTGAATAGAATACTTGTGACTTGGCTGGAGTTTACTAATATGTGAGCGTCCCAGATGCAGATGTGGAGCCTCCATCGATGAGTTTGGTTTGCATCCTCTCTCCTGTCGTCGTCGTGCCGGCCGCTTTCCACGGCATGCTGCCATTAACGACATCATCAGAAGAGGTTTGGATGCTGCTGGGTTCCCTCCCCAAATCGAACCCGTAGGCCTCGACCGCGGTGATGGAAAGCGGCTGGGTGGCATTACCATTTTCCCTTTTAAAATGCGGAAGTCGTTGATTTGGGATGCGACCTGTGCGGATACATTTTCGGCCGGTAATTTGATCAGGTCCGCGGTTGAGCCAGGATCCGTCGCCCGGGACGCAGAGATAAAAAAAATAGTTAAATATTCTTCTCTTGCTGATAGATTTTTTTTTTACTCCTGTGGCAGTGGAGACTTCAGGGGTTATTGGGCCTCGTTCGATGGCGTTCCTTCGGAGGATTGGCGCGATTGCTTCTCGATTAAGGGACGAGCCTCGCGAAACGGAATGGCTCTTGCAGCGTGTCTCGTTGGCCATGGTTCGAGGTAATGCTTTCTCCATCATTGCGGCTGGCAGAGATTAGAAAAAATTGTTTATTGTTACGTTGTTCTGGATTTGTCATCAGTGGTCAACTGTAATTGTTTTGTTTCAATAAATTTTAATTTGTTTACTATTGCTTTTCCTTATTAAAATATTGCGTAATGAAATAGATTCATTCTTTATGAATAAGCTTGTATATATATATTCAAACATGTTTCATTGAATAATATAGACATATTAGGTCTAATTATTTTATATTGATCCTTTCCACGTATCTAATCAGTTTGTTGATGTTAAGATAAGATTCATCAAGCAAGGTGCCGTAGTTTGTTTTTTTGTTTTTGTTTTTGTTGTTTTTTTAGCCAAGTCAATCATCTTCAGAGTTAAATTATAAAGACACACTTATTGTAAATGCAATAGATTCAGACAATTTTTTAAGAGGCTCCTGTTTCAGCCTCTTTTTAGATCTTAGTAACTTTTTTTTGACTAAGTGTCGAGAATGTGTTGAATCTCATATTACTACACAACATTTCGCTTTTGTTTATCATCCGTTGTCTTGATAAAGTCAAATGACGAAAACGTTGGCAAGGACTAAGTACTATTTTCCGATTGCCTATTATATATATATATATATATATATATATATATATATATATATATATATATATATATTAAAAGATTTTAGAGTCCCATGAGAATAAGTGGATACAACGTTTAAAAGCACGCTTTCAGCCGGGCTAAACCATAAATTTAATAATATACATAGTATTAATATATAACTCAACAAATCAAAACCTACTCATTTCTCACCCACACAAGACAGACATGCTTACGGAGGTATTGAGGCCTCACCGTCATACACACACCCACACGAACATACACACATCATACTCATTCACTCCCTAATGAGCCAAATGATAACACACACCCACAGCAATACACACGCTTATACATATCATACTCACTCACCCCTAAGTACCAAATGACACACACACAAACACTAAACAGAGACACATCCCTCACCAGGTCCAATAAAACTGTCAAACTGACCAGAATTCAGAAGAATAGATCTGTCCAGCTCTTATCTCAAATAACAACTTAAAAGAGACTGTTTGACCAACACAAGGATTGTTAAAAGATTCATGTGAAAAAGATAAAAAATAAAAAAACAAATGAAAACTAGAGACAAAAGTTCATTTTCTCAACAAAAAAGACATTCATTTCTGTAGTTTAGTGCTAACAGCAAAGCAGAAATATTTCTCCTCCTGATGATGGCCATTTGGGTCGAAACTAGTCGAGGAATCTAAATGGAATAATAATAATAAAAAAAAACGTAAAGAATATTAATCTACAACCCAGTGTGTCTAAAGATTTTAATTTTTTATTTTTTTATTGTTCAATATATATATATATATATATTTTTTTTGTTCAATATATATATATATATATATATATATATAAGATAAAGAACAAATAGAAAACTTATATAACGTATGTTTATCTAAAACAAACGGTATGTACGTAAAAACGGTCCTAAATCAACATGCGCAGAACAAACAAAGATGTAGTCTACTAGACACCTCCCACATACACACACTTAAGAATATACATTATCATCTGAATCCCACATAGACAAACTATAGTTATTATTGTCTTGCATGCATAAACCAATATATGCGGTTTTCAGTTAGGCTTGAAATTCTTGAATTTCTTGGAACTTCGAAAGGACGCATCGTCTCTCCTTGAGTTGGGATCACCACACATTATACTAACGTTGGTTTGGAAAGGTCGAATGCACGTGAAACATGATTGATCATTAATCAAATTATGATACAATTTTACAAAATTAAACGTCAATACCTATATATATATATATATATATATATATATATATATATACATAAAAGAGACATTGATCCCCAAAAGATACAGTCTGTTTCATACTAGACACAATCGTCAGGCCACGTGAATCGTGGCCTTGACGATTGTGTCTTGCATGAAACAGCCTCTAAACGTTGACTTCAATGTTCACTTTTATATTTACACACGCTCTATCTCTGATATTGAGCACTTTATCCCATAAATATAGAACACCTTAGAGTATATTTCTTAATTTTATATATATATTTAAATTTGTAGGTTT